TATAAGAGAAATGAGCTGCTACATCAGCAGCAACATCACAAATACTCGCTGTACAGTTAGGCCTGTAACTTTCCCTATCAGCTTATTATTATACGTGTCTGTGATAACAAATCAGCTGTGTAAGTTGTGATTGTTGGTAGGACAATGTGGGCTAATTCTACATGACTTTTTTGTGTGTAAAATAACTAGCCCATTTGAAGCATCTGTTGACGTGGTCAGATTGTGTTGACTTCAGTGCTGGCATTACCACAGAACAATTCAGACTGTTTTTGTCTTTGTTTAATTTGGTCAATTTGCAACTAGCACGTTGATCAGTTGTAGATCATGTTGACCTGTCTGATGCTCAATTGTAACAGGATGGATTGTTTCAAGGCTTTTCTATAAAATGTAACTGTTAGCTGAATTGGAATATTTTATTTTCCCAATAACCAAGAGCATCAGAAAGAAAAAGAAACCGCTCAGGGGTTTGGGAACATGCAGAAATGAAGGGTAGATGGATAGGCATACTGTCATTTATTGCCTGATAGTTTTTGTAAAGTTGTTTTATGGAAATGCTGATGGAAGTAGTTGATATCTTAATCCCATAAACAATCATTTGGTCTGTCTTTTGTAATGTGGACTAGCTTAGGTCATAGAGGATTGCACTGTAGTATTTTGAAGTGTGCAGCTGTCTAGTCAGAAATGCACTCAATGAATGGAGTGGGAAGTTTGTGTAATTTACGGGTATAACAGACCACAAAACTCTTCACCCCTTTGATTCCTTTATGATAATAAAATAAACCCATTCATACTTTGTTACTTTGGCTGGTTTTGCTGTCTCATGATAAGGGTTTCCATTAGCTTGAAAAATCTTGAAATATTATTGAATTTCAAAAGTGTTATTTCCAGACCTGGAAAAGTCATGGAACTAAATACCAAGTTCTGTCATAAAACTCTAGATGGTGCAGACTGCAGACTGGTGGGTTAACTACATGGTACAAGGTGATAGGTTTCTATTGCATCTGTAGCTAATGAACTTGTTGCTCAAACAGTTGGTCAATGTTTGCTGTAGTGGTTTTGTGCAGCAGCAGCATGTCTTAAATGCTTCCAGCAGTGTCTATGATAGGGAGTAGCAAGTCTCTGTACTTGCTTCGCAGCAGCAGCAATAATCAACAGCAACATTTTCTATTTACTTCTAGAGCTGCTGTACAGCCGTACACAGTCTGCTCTGGTCCAGAGACACGATAGCACAGAGCGGATCATAGTCGGCGCATGCCAGAAAACGTATCGGATCCATTTGAATTCTGAACAGAAAGCTATATTTTAAAGTGAAGTGGAGGAGAAATGGTTAGAGTTTAGGAGGAAACTGCAGCTCTGGCAGAGCTGTGATATAAACTAAATGCTATTGGCAATTAAAAAAAAGTGTAAGAGCTGTTCGATATTCTCTGCCCTGTCCTCTGTTTCAGTAGAAATTACATCAACACATTGAAATAACACCTTGTGTGTGTAAGCTCTTTAACTTTATCTAATCATGTCTAGTCATCACACTTGACTGGAAAAATCATGGAAATTCACTGGTCAGAATGTGTGGGAACCCTGCATGATATGTAATCACATTGTTGGTTTTATTAGGCGTTTCTCTGATTTACTTACAAAAGCCTTCGTTACAGTAGTACGTGCATGTGTTCTGACAGCTGATAATGTAAAAGATGGGCTCTATCTTTGCTGTTATGAAGAATTATTTATCCTAAGTTAAACACTATAAATTAGTACATGCAAACATTAGCACCAAATAAAGTTGTCTGTTTTGCTCTTGGAAGGAATGTAAATATAGAATTGTAGTCAAGACTAACATTTGAGAGCAGTAGCATTGGGGCCACTAAGTTCTACAGATGGGGCTGGCAGCACCTGATTTAGTAGCGCTGGGGGGATTTTTAATCATAATATTAGTTTAATTATAAAATGACTATTGTTTTGCATTGCTAAGGGCAGTTACTGACAATATTACATGTTTGTTAATTGGATATTTGACAGTAAAGCACTGAGCTTGAATTGAGATCCAGATCAAATGAATGTTTTACAGTATTCACAGTAATGTTCGAAAACCTATAAATAACCTTTAAATATTCGACTTATTAAATGTACATAAATGTTTTTCTATAGTATCATACTGAACTGACCGACAGCTTCAGTAATTATATAAGGAGCGCTCTTTACTTGTTTTTTGTAGGGATGCACCGGTTGACTGGTAATATATCGGAACCGATTTTCCCGGAAGTGCGCCCGCGTGCCGTGCACGGACTACTTTGAAATCATTCGCGAAAATGTCATTTGTTTGGAAGCATTGTACTGGAAATGCAGAGGTAACCGTTACCTGTCTGAGGCACAGATAAGCGAGCAGCCGTTAGTGTAGTGGGCGCTTTCCTGCGCTCGCTGAAGTTGCTCGAGAGTAGGCTACCTGTCCGCGTCCTGCACTAGCCAGTGAACGTTTGTATGTTCAGCTCAGCTTCTCATGTGTTGATGAGAAACGAAACATGTGACAAAGCTGAAATGCTTCTTTATGTAAAGAAAAACTTGCATGCACTTTTGAAAATCTTGAAGTAAACGTCAGTTCTGTATAGGATGATAATTTTTATGTTACCTTAAAATTACATTGACATAATTTGATTTAAAAAGCACCTGGGGGGGGGGTTTGTTTAATTTCACTGGTAAATAAATACCTTTTTTCTTTACACCGGATTTAAAAACAAAAACAAATGCTGATTAAATAGCCAAACATCTTTGTTTGGATTGTTGAATGTGTGATTGTGAACTGTGCAGTTGTTGCCGTTAATTTCAGATGGTTACAGTTATTGTTTGGCCTGTTAATTAAATACCAAATAAACATCTTGTTTATGTATACTTATATTCTTTCTTGTGTGTTGCTTAACCCTCTGGGGTCTAAGGTGTTTTTGGGGTCCTTGAGATTTTTTGACATGCCCTGACATTTGTACTTTTCTCAGTTGCTTATAAACATTAAAGTCCCACTCCGATCATATTTTTAGCTATTTTTAAACATTCCCAGTGGTCTTTAAATTATGATTATGCCATTTTTAGCCAAAATCACAAAACCTGTGCCGTTTTCTGGGACTTCGCTTCAGCAGAGCGGCAGTAGCTCATTAGCAATTCGCCTCTGCGTTGTGGGCGGAGCCGTTGGCACGGAGACGACCCTCCCCCTTCCCGTTGCTGAGAGGTCTGTCTCTCCCGCTAGCTTACACCCCCAATACCGGTGGGGCAACAGTATTATATACACGTTAATTATTATTATCCGTAGTTAATCAAAGTTATCACCGATCACCAATCATTATTTCACTCCAAGACGTCGCGTGTGGAGACGCCCAGTGGAGTTACTACGTCACAACTCCAGTCTATTTTAGCCGGCATTTTATCGTCTGCTACTGATTCACAGCCATTTGAATGTAGAAATACTCAGAAATACAACTTTGAGCTTATTTTTCTCAAGGTATGTCCTCTAACATCAGAAAAATGCCACAAGAACATGTTAACACCTAGAAAAACATTATTTTCATCGGAGTGGGTCTTTAATGGCACAGGTGAAATTACACTCTATTTAGCACAAACAGGGCTACCATAATATGTGAGCAACATGTATGTACATTAGGGGTGGAACGGTACACAGAAGTCACGGTTCGGTTCATACCTCGGTTCAGACATCACGGTTCGGTACGATTTCGGTACAAGGGAGTGAAAAGCAAAGCAAAAATGCAGAAGGCATTTTTATAAATGTCTTAAGCCTTGTATTTTTTTAAATAAGTTTTATTAATAAAGGCATAGAACCAGTTTATTTGTAGTGCACTGACAGTAGTTTTATATAATTAGTTTATTAATTAAATTATTAAAAAGACGAAAAGACCTTGAGATATGTTTGGTAATTGTACCTGAATGAATTTAAAATTAATTTGCTATTTCAGATCAAGATATTTGTTTTCCTTCATTTTAATTAACTAACTTTATTCTCATCTGAATTATAAATAATTGATTTCCGTATAAAATAATACTACCATAAAAACTTTTGTTAACAGGTGTAGGTTACAGTTTGACAAGAGTTTAGAGTGTGACAAAAGCACAATGTTGTGTTTTATTGCGAGTGTACACAAATATAAGTAAACAATTTGCAGTTTTAATGATGTCCTGTATGAAAAAAATGACGGAGTATGTTTTTACGTTTCCACTGTTCGATCGCCCGTGCCTCTCTCACACACACACACTCACACACACACACACACACACACACACACACACACACACACACACACACACACTGTTCATCGCGCGATTCGCGCCCGCGCCTCTCTCTCTCTCTCGCACGCGCGCGCACACACACACACTGTTCATCGCGCGATTCGCGCCCGCGCCTCTCTCTCTCGCGCGCGCGAACACACACACACACCGCGCCTCTCTCTCTCGCACGCGCGCGCACACACACACACACACACTGTTCGATCGCGCCTCTCTCTCTCTCGCACACACACACACACTGTTCATCGCGCCTCTCTCTCTCTCTCTCTCTCTCTCTCTCTCTCTCTCTCTCTCTCTCTCTCTCTCTCTCTCTCTCTCTCTCTCTCTCTCTCTCTCTCTCTCTCTCTCTCTCTCTCTCTCGCGCACACAGACACACACACACACTCCTGCATTGCAATCTTGATCGCAGCCTGTTCATTGCTGCGTTCACAGTCACACCAAAAGCGAATAGAGCGAAATTCATCGCTATTTAAGAGGTTTTT